AGTTGATTTAAGTGAAGAATACGAATTGGTATAATCAATACGGGAACGTTTATTGTTACGTTGTGTTTGCTCATCGTTATTATCGATGCTACCATTATTATTCATAGTACTGTTCCACTTCATCTCTTATATCCTATGCAATTATTCACCTTCAAAATATTGTCTTGTTCAATGAATGCATAAAATAAACATCTTGGCGAGGAAAAAAACGATATCACGATAAGGACAGTAGTAAAGTACCACGATAATAGTAATAATCATTTGAATAACTGACCGATCCTTGCTCAGCCAATATAGTAGTTGAGGATGCCGTTTAACGTCGAAACGTCTTGCTGTGTTTCGGTCAGCTATTCATCTGTTTATCACTTTATCTTACCATTGTTCTTGTCGGTATTCAAAATATGCATCGTAACGCACATTCACCCACTCATTCGTAAAGATATCACTTAGAAACACATAAGTTCGTGCTATTCAAGAAGGTTCGAAGACAATTGATGGCCGTAAGTTTTCGTGTTTCCCACTGACTAATGAGTAATCCTGGCTACATTTCAGCAAAACAGTTTGCAACAATAAGTCTGTCACTTCATAATAAATGTTTGACGTTCAGAAATTTTGAATATACGAATTATGTGCAAAAATTATGTGCATACTCAAGGTACTGAAATTACTTTTAATTTACAACTTCTGATTATCGCAGTCCTCTTCAATAGTTAGAAGCATAGAATCGGTAAACGTTTAAACCCGTTCATCGGTGCATGCAAGCAAACATTCCAAACATATGCACAAAATTCGAGACCTTATAGAATTAATTCATCTTGCAATAATTCCGTTCTCTCGGAATCAAGGATTTCTTGGCGAAACGACGGTTACTTCTTATCATCAGCGTATAAACCGAATTGACACCGAGCGAATTAGGGCCTGATATTCTGTAGCAGTGACAACGTACTTCAGCTGAACAAGGGCAACGTTTTTGCCGTATTCAAGGATGAGGCCCGCAATATTAGGAGTGTTTTTTACACTAATTGTAAGAGGAATTGATGTAGAGCGAACAATACTGTATTGAATATTGGTGTCGGTTCTTCGAACATCGATCAATTAAGAATGAATTTTCAGATTTTGATGCAATCCTCGAAGAATGCTTGGCCGAAATTGGCATTGGTCTAAGCAAGTCTTCGCTTGTTTTTTACCAGCGTATCCACTCGCACATTTGCTTTATAATGCATACAGGTACCTATTTATTCCTCTGTCAGTTACATAATTTGCAACTCATAAAAACGAAAATTCATAGTACTGTGTTCAAATTTTAATCCAACTTCAGGTAGATTATGAATACAGTTAGTCCGATACCATCAGGGCAACCAGGTTGTGGGCTTAGAAAATTTCTGTTTTATATAGGGAATTGCTGATGTGGTAAAATGATGGAATATAGTGACAGTTAAAAGCAGCTGTTTAATGAAAGTCAAGTTGGCATGTTTTCTTCAGAGAAGAAAGTCCAATTTCGTGGATCTATATCAAACGACTCGAATATCCAGTACCCGATCATCTCGCCGATTTAGTCGAATCAGAAATTGAAAACGTTGATGGATTACCGAAGGCTGATGTTGGTTGATTTTTGTGGAATGTAAAGTGTATTGCAAATTTATTGTTGTCGTCATTTTTTCAGAAGTATTGGTTCAAGGTGGCTGTCAACTGAATTCAGTTTCCATGGAGGTGTATTTCAAAATTTGAAGTTGAAACATTTCGTAACTCGAATTTATCTTCTGATAGTCTCTGTGCGTACGGAAATTCATTGTTGATGAATCAAAGCAAATGTTAAGCAATCTGCACGAGTAACGAACGTTTAGCATTTCAGTTAAAGGTATCATTAACAGACAAGATGGATGCTCATGCATATGGTGGTTTTTATTTGCGACCAGCTGTCGAGTTACAACTTCCATTACGTGCAGCAGTAAAAGATCTTGAAGAGGCGACACGTTTGGGTGCGATAATTGAAATTAGTACTGGCATTTCTAGGTATATTTTCGAAGTTTACAGTGATTTTAATCTATTTGTATTAGCATCGGAATTCAGTTTGAATTATGTTTGAATTAGTTCTAAAAAAATCTTTCAAGTTTTATTCACAAATGAACCTTCAAAATTGTCAAAGGTTTGTCTTTAAATGGCTCAATCGTCATAACGGACCAGATAATTTTATTTTAGTAGTCGACGAAAAACAAATATAAATTCGAAGTTTGGTGAGAAGTTGCTGACAGAATTTATAATCAGTGACAAAGCAAAGCGTTTTATTATACAACGGGAATTACAACGTGCTAACAGGTACAATTTCCATTGATTTTTTACATTCATTGATTACATTGTATGCGTTTTTAAGCACTCCATATTGAGAGGAATCAGTTTTTAGTATGACGCGAAGTATTTCTCATCTCACATTCCCCCGTCCCTGCAGTTATTAAATCACGAATTTTTAATACGTATTCGGTGTGAATGGTCTAAAATTGCAGTGGAAAAGCATTTTGTATGCCAATCTTTATATGGATGACTACAGTTGGAATGTCGTTTGTATTTCTGAATATAGCAACACAAATTGTTGGTCCAGTTGTTGCATTTTGCCTTTCAACTGTTATTGTGTTCACTGCGTTTCAAACTTTTTATCATCACTTTTCTGTGGTCTTGGAACAGAAACTCGACATCGAAACGTGCAAAAAGTAAGTTTTATTTAGGTGTTTCGGTGGTTGAAACAAATGATTTGCCTTGCTTTTAATTTCAAAGTCTGTAAATTCAACATTCATTTGAAATGTTTGGTATCATAAAACTGCTTTCTTACTCATGTTACTAATATTGGTGTTATTATTAATGTCGTTGTTATGAATATTCAAGATCGGATGTGTACGTTCAAGGTGGTCTTGATTTTCTGCGATCAACAATGCGGCTGAATCGCTATTTACGATCAACAATCGATAGAGATGAGGCATCAAAGTGTATTGCAGAGAACGGTGATCGTATTGCAGATAAATTGCCGTATTCAAAAAGATTACGAAAAATTGAAGATTTCATTAGGGAACGTAATTTTGTGCTGAAAAGTGATTTGGATGTTGATGATTAGATAATTTCTGAATGACTTTTAATACTAATAGCTGAATCGTGAATTAGTTTGATGCTATGAATTGAGCGTGAAATTGTGGCCGTATTCAGCGAGTCGACAATCTTTCTGAAAAGATTCAGTAGCGTTATTAGGTTCATGATCGATTCTGTATGAAGCATCCATCAAATGTACATATTGTTGCGTTGTTTTCATTTGAATGTTATTTGTTATAGATTGCGTTAGTTTTGTTATTGTTGTTAATTGTTTCGTTCAGTCATAGGTAATATTGATATGTTCATATAAACTAGTGTCAGCCATCTAACTATTTCGGTTTTGTTATGAGTGAAACGGTTGCAGTTCGTTTCAAACATGGCTATTACAAAGTCAGCAACTTGCTGAAATTAAAGATGAGCGGTGCACGCAAGAGAATGCGTCGATTTATTCGAGTGCTCCGCTCCTGCTGCCACACCAACAAATCAGTTCATCTCTAGTCATGTTGCTCTAGCACATTACTTGCTTTTATCGTGCTCTGCATGTGGTAGTTATTGCGATGAGTCGTTTAATAATCGCTCAGATGATATAGACTAAAGTTAGGTTTGGAAAATTTCTAATCGTTTTGAAAAATGTCTTCTAAATAAGAAACTTACTTATCATCCGAATGTCTTCGTAACGAATTACTGCAAACAGTAACCAACTCGTATAATCTCGCTCGAAATGGTTATCTTCTTAAATGGTAGTTATATTCACATCGTATCGAATAACAGTTTATTCACATCAATCGTATATGATAACATTCCAGTGGTGAACCGATGAAAAATATTCACTCATCGCTAAATCGATTGTCGAATTCAGTAGAACGAAGTCGTTCTTTCAATGCATTTGAACGAAGTGATATTAAAGGAAGATATCATTGAAGTGATGTGCGTATAAAGTCTTTCGTAGAGATATTCACTCATTTATTACTAACTGGAAGTTTTGATATACTTCTCGAAATGTGATACATAATTCATTGATTGCTAATAACCACCGGAAATTGATGAAAGCGATGATATAATACGCATTTTGGCCGTTTTGCTAATTTAACGCTATAGTGGATCTTCACTCTCGTTATTTTTGCTTGGATTTTATTCACATCCATTCATTTAAAAATTTAACTTTGCGAATTTCGTTAAGGTTCAC